GCGGGTTAGCATTACTTCCGCATGTGTGGACTTTAGCAGGATCCAGGGTGTTCTACTGCAGCAGCAATTCTCCCATCGGCGGCACAGCCGCTGCCGAGTAACCTAAAAAATGTTATGGCTTTGGAGGTTTCTATGGATGGGAGTTCGCATGATTCGGAAAAACCGGTGACCCGGAGTAGGAGTGTGCATGTGTTGCAGGTAAAGCGATATGATCAACATGTGGAAAATCGACGTTCCGGTAGGGTATTGGGATAGCAGTAGGCTCGAAAGGTTGCTAGGGAGTGACTTTCAAGTAAGAGACCTCCGTTACGTTTTTAGCCTGCATTACGCGCACAGTCCTTGTGGATATAGCCGTAGTACGGAGCCTTGGAACTATGAAACAAATAGTTCCTTTGAGCATTTTAAACAACGCTGTGAGAAGACGAGAGCCGGTAGATGTTAAGATTTCGCATTGTCTCTTCAGTGGCAATACAATAAAAATAAAATATACACATCCACAGCAAGGGTGTGACCGGATAAAATATAGACAGGGTGGTGTACAGATGTGCCACGGCTGTAAATGGGAGTCATAAGCTTACGAACAACTGATTTTGCACAGTGTCGGTTTGATCCGTTTGATTGCGACAGCTTCGGCGAAATGTAGGATGCGGGTGTTAGAAGGTCTCAACGAGATTGTGAACTGTGGTAGGGTCGAATGGATGACTAGTAGACAATAAGTGTCTACCTATGGATGAGGCAGGTTTCTTTCGTGAACAGGTGGTAGACAAAGCGGAAGATAAGATTATTTCACGCTGCACCCACTTAGGTAGTTCACTCACTCTGAAATTCAACATACTCTCGGTACGGCCTATGTAGCGCGACCCGCAGCTACAAGTGAATTGGTAAATGCAATTTGAATTGGCGCCGACAGGTCGTCTTTTCTTCTTTGGGGGAACATGCACTTTGTTGTTCGGTTAATAACGACAGCTTCGACAGCAGCGAAAATTATTCGTTTGGCTGTCCTTAAGGTGGCAAAATCACGCATGTCTCAGAGTTGAGTGTAGAAATTCCCCGAATTTCCTACTACAAACGCTATGTGGACGATATTTTAGTGTTCTGTTTATCAACAACAGAGATTGCACGTCTTGTCGAACATTTTATTAGTGTACATACAAATTTGAGAGTAATCAGCGAAGGAGAATGTAACAATTGTATCCCATTTTGGACGTACTGATTAGTTGTACAGAGAACGGTCTCATCAAGCGATCTGTTTATGGAAAACCGATTTGGTCCGGGCAGCACCTGCATTTTACCAGCTTCATTCCAATGCGGTACATGTAGACACTAGTCAATACTTTGTTCAATCGCGCAAGAAGAATATGCAGCCCCGATTGCCTACAAAAGGACCAGGAGTTGTTGACTAATGCGCTCCTGAAAAACGGTTATCCTCGCCGGTTTATCGCAAAACATAGTCAGACGAAAGTGGTGAGAGTGAAGGTCCTCACTGTGGCCAAAGGAAGATCTTTCTAGAATTACCGTTTAAAGATGTTTTGCCAACATGAGGACAACCAAGCGAATAAAATCCGCTGTCCATAGGACCTTTACGCTGCCGAAGCTATCGTTATTAACCGAACAACAAAGTGCATGTTCCCCCAAAGAAGAAAAGACGACCTGTCGGCGCCAATTCAAACTGCATTTACCAATTCACTTGTAGCTGCGGGTCGCGCTACATAGGCCGTACCGAGAGAATGTTGAATTTCAGAGTGCGTGAACTACCTAAGTGGGTGCAGCGTGAAATAATCTTATCTTCCGCTTTATCTACCACCTGTACACGAAAGAAACCTGCCTCATCCATAGGCAGACACTTATTATCTACTAGTCACCCATTCGACCCTACCACACAGTTCACAATCTCGTTGAGACCTCCTAACACCCGCATCCTACATTTCGCCGAATCTGTCGCAACCAACCGGATCAAACCGACACTCGCTGTACCCCACTCTGTCTCTATTGTATCCAGTCACACCCTAGCTGTAGATGTATATATTTTCCTGTTATTGAATTGGCACTGAGGAGACCATACGAAATGTTAACATCTGCCACCGTAGAAATATGTTCTACTTTTGGCTCAAATGAGTTCCGATAATCAGGGCACTTTATTACATAAATCCTTGTACGCGACTCAGTAGTTTGCGGGAACACATTATTTCTATCTTTACAAGAGGTTGTAGTCATAAGGTTTTCTAATGCGGAGCTACCATAATTTGATCGCACATTATTCTTTTGACTACGATCTACCTGGATTCCTGATGTGCTGTTGGAATGGCACATATCGACATCCAGCAGTTGGGGTACAGAGGCAGATGCGTCAAGTCTATGCGCTGAAACCTGAGCGGACAGTTCCTTCAAAATGGAATATTTGTTGCCTTCATGTGGTGCACATGAGGCACGGCTGCTGACAATGATCCTGTAGATTTTACTTTGACCATTTAGTAAATTTCCTGCGTTTCGAAGAATGGGGTGTCTTAGTCGAATAGTTAGACATTTCTGAACTGAGGACAGCAGTGGCAGTCAGTGCTTTGGTCGGACTAGTTGCCGAACCGATGTTGAGGGAAAATACTCCGTCTTCCTTGAAGTTTTGGCTGGTATTTTTAAAGTCAGGACTAACAGTACTCCCCGTGTCGCTAATTAGCTGAAGCACAATGTCGGTATTCGTGGTAGCAGCTATGTCGGAACTAGTGGTTGAGGGACTTTCGGTGGCGGCAGTGGTTGACTTTGCCAGACTTCACTGCAGGGGCGTATTGTCAATCAATATCCCTAGTGTTTTAAATGTAGCGTATTCTGCTATCTGTGCGCCATTTTTGAGGAACTCGATTGCCGTCAATGCGTCGCTACATTGAAAGAGCACGGGACAGATTTTAAGCTGGACGTCCTTACGTCCTTACGTTCATATGGAAAGCAAAGGAAAGAAACCGAGCTGCAATCTCTTTTCTTACTCCTGTTACATATCAACTTTACTCGGCCTCGATAATAGAATATGTAAATACATCTATCTCGAAAGTGTTATTTCGCCACAGAATGCCGCAAAGAAAAAGCAAACAGAACCCCCTTTTAATTGGCCCACCTCCTAGTGTTTATTGATCAGCAGTATATGATAAGAATTAGCAGAGCATAAACCTCACTGTGATTGTGTATCATCTGTAGAGTGCACAGGAAGGGCTCCACTTTGTTGACGCAATTAGTTTGTATGCGTCGTAGGAAAGGACAAATCAGGAAGCACGATTCCAGGAACATGATTATGACATTAAAGTGACTATCACTAATTTCCGACAGCAGCAGCAGCCGCCGCATGACAATGCGCGGTTACTTGGTTAGTAGAAGACGAGATCTACGCAGTGGGACTGGGATCAAAAGAGGATCACAAATGAAGGAAGATACGCGGGTAGTGTAGAGCTTACAATTGTTCTACACGCAAGCTGTATGAAATTTGCTGTGAGTGGCATTTACTGGCAGATTCTGGTGCGAGTAGTCTGCGTACGGAAGCACATTCTACAATGCAATTGGTGGTTGAACTTATTCATTTGGGGGATCCGGCGAATTTACAGTTTGCATTGGAAGGTACTGTACAAACATAAACTAAGGCACTGCACTCGGAAGCCCCCTTTTCACAAAATGTAAGTACGTGTGACGTTGCAGTGGCACCGTGTTCGTTGGTAGGCCTGAACGCTCGTGATAGCGGGGTTACCGAGTGAATGGAATACTCGATGCACAGCGACAAGACAAACCGGCAGTCCGAAGCTCGTTTGGGAATTTCGTAGTTGCATGGTTATAATGAATTTCATTACTAAAAGGTACCAATGTAACCAAAGTAGCTTACCATGCCAGATCATTGATGGAGTTGCATTAAAACCGACACTGCGTTCGACCTGAAGGCTAAAACTGCAGTTGCATAAAAAGAATCACTATATACGGAGGGCGCAAGTGTAGAAATCCACATACTTTATATCTCAATGCCCCAGGTGACGCAAGGGTTGTCGTGGATAAAGATAAACATGTCAGGGCTGCTCGGGGAGCTCTTGCTAAGTGACCCAGACATAAGCTGTTGACCGGGTGTCGGGTTCCACTCCCAGTTAAGGCTATCTCTAACTGAATAGCACATATCAGCCAGAGACCGGTCGGTCGTGGACTGTAGTGTTGGGAAGGAAAAGCACCGAAACTCTCCACAACGACAAACCTGGTTGTACAATAGATGAATAAATTGGACGAGGCCCGAGAGATGACGCGCTGCCTAAAGATCTGATAGAAAATCAACAACGTGATCACCAAATGTAGTGAAGTTCGGTGAGGAAGATGCCGTCTACTACCCTATTTGATAAAGATCGTTAGTGTTAGTGTGTGGAGTGTATCATATTGGAACAAAGGAGTCTATGAATGAGCAGAACAGTATTCAAAAGTCAAGGAACAGGTATGCACCATTTGTCGTATGATCCGAATCTGGATCTCCTAATTCACCAATGCACATTAACAAGAGTTTGGTCACATATGAATCAATAGGACAACGACCATGGAATCATGAACGTACGAAGATGCTCATCCGGCAGTGTCTATATTCATGAGGGTCAGGAAAGCAGCTAGGTGGATAGTGAACGTTCTGAACTATATAGTTAGTCGAGTTTGTATGCGTAAGGCTGACAAAATGAAGCAATATGGTTTGTCCAATTTTTGTTTATTATTTGGGTTATACTGTTAGAGATGATTGGCTACAGAGTCAAAAGCATACCATGGGTATGAAGAGAGATATGATGATTGTGGGAGCGGTTAGTTATTCATCTTTTGGCCAAATGCTTGAAACTGCGTAACGAGGACAAAGATTGTGTATTCATGGCCTGAAGTTAATATTTTACCATCTATTTGCTTCTTGTAGCCGTAAAGTAAACTGCGGCGCTAGGGTGATGATAGATTATGCAACACTAACACCGACTTTGCCGGGACTGCTCACTCGCATCGTGCAATAAGCAATCTTTTTGTAATAAAATTGTTTTTATTTTCGAAGTATTATAAAAACTCAGTCAACGTTAGATATGCCGGGTTCCTACAAGCCAAAGATGTAGGATGTGAATCATGGTAAGTTAAAAAGAAATGATGAAAATGGATAGCAGAATCCGAAATGAACAGGATGTCTCAGAAAGAGAAACAATAAACTGTTAGGTAACTGTATAAATTTGTGCGAAGTCGCACATGTTCATGGAAAAGCGATGACATGAATGTTCTATCACACGAAAAAGGTTCACGTGAGGCTTGTTATTGTGCCATTTTTCGGACAAGTGATACGGGTCCAAGTAAATAACTGAGTTCATGATATCTGGGGTAATCCGAATTCATCAACCGGGACACCGTTCTGAAAGAAAGACATAGAACCATGGTAATACCTTCTCCAAAAACAACGGGATGAGCTAACTGTGCATGAATTATCATAAGGGTGGATACAATGTACTAGTCTACCGGTACAATGTGAGGAACAGTAATTATGCAACACGCCTCACTTAATGCTATGTGGTGGACATTAAAGGTGCCCACAAGTTGGTATGGCACGTAATGCTCTGACAAACTGGCTACTGGACGATATTATCCTGTGAGACAAGCGTTAGAACAAGAGCTGATGATAGTTTGCACCAGAGGAGTCTGCCTAACCTGCAGCCAAGATCAACTTGTTAGTGACAACGTAGAGCTGCCAGAAATGACGAGTAGCCTAACAAATGGCGTAACACAATGCCGGAATGCAAATATGCACTGTAAAAGAGACGAAAGGCAGGTGATATGAGTCCGTTTTATGTAATCGTAATCGATACATACGGTAATCTTCGCAGTTATCAACAAGACTGCTTATGTTCCTGTACGAGTATGACCTGCAAGTGGTTCTGAGACTGCCACATCTGGCTCTAGCGAAATTCGGAATAATTAATCTCAGAAATAGTAACATTGCAATGAAATAGGACTGGACCTTATGGCATTGCGATGATTTTCAGTAATCAGCACTTCGAAAGCAATTCGTACTAGATAGGGTAAGGGTCACATTTCAAGAAGTTAGATTGAGCATTATTTACAGTGACTAGGAATAGGTCGATGGCCCTTTTCCTTATGAATCCAACAATCCACCGGTAAAAGCTAAGCTGAAACACTGCAGTCATTTGTCCTAGGCAGCCAGTTATTGTGCATCAATGCATGTATTGCTCAGAGATTTGCAACAACTAGCCTCTCATCAGCTGCAGAGCGGAAGGAAACAAAACCGTGGCCACAGTGACTGCACGTGTCAGGCGGGGTCAAAATATGGAGAGCATTCTAATCCACAAGTCTATACCGGGTCGTTAAGAGGTATGCTCCAGAGCTAAACATACTTAGCGCTGCATTGTGGGTAAAATGAAGAGTTAAAGGCCCGGATTCTCATAAAAAAAACTAGTTGCTACTTTTCTTATTAGAGGAAAGGTAAAACCTGAGTATCTCCGAACAACCTACATTACCATAAACCAGCAACTGGAGAGTGACAATTGCCCATAAAACTTCACCGTAACCCATGGTACTGCTTCATTACCATGAACTGATAACCTGTGCTAATAGCGCACATGCAGCGCCTATCATGTCCGTACTCAGTTCGCATTGGTATTTCGGCGGTTTTCAGGGTGATAGGTAAATCTGGCTCTTATCTCGCATACCATCGGAATAGATCGGTGCTGTATCTCCGAAACAAATATTAGACATTAGTGTCTCAATCAAGCCTTGACAATAAGGCTTGAGATCCAGTGACCAAGGCTGCATAAGTACGCTGACAACGCCAGTCGATGGCCAGACAATGTGTCACTGTTGTGCCCAGTGGAAAGGCCAAGTGCAATCCAATTAAATTAGCTAGCAGTTGCATGTTTGACGTTCGACTTAGACGCTAGTTGGTAGGGTTCGGGAACACGGTGGCCAGAGTTTAAGTACTGACTGTTGATCTACTGTCAAAGTTGGAGCATGCGGAAACAACAGAGCATTTTTGGTTAGACCCAACTTCTATGTCGACGTTACTGAATATATTGGTACAAAAGGCTGCATACGTTGGCGTGCGCACTGCATCTTAAAGGTGCGGAATACTGTTACAGGACTGAGACGGTTAACCTCATATTCACACCACCTAAAAAGCACTCGAAGCGGCCTGTCGGGTTAGTTATCTGTGTAGCTGAACCACTCTTAGTGTTCACATCAAAGAGAAGGCTATTGCACACATTGCGGAGTAAATACGCATAACAACTGGTACCGGAGAAATAATGCTGGTGGGAAAGACTGAGTTGGTAATACAGAAAGCGTCATTAGGCGTACCAGTAGCAAATCCACCAGTGCCTCACTAGGATGCTTGTTAAGTTCAGATCGCCTCCGTTAGTCTTGTCTGTGGTCCGCATGCGGTGACGTGTATTGCTTACCAACAAAGTTAGCGCACAAGGCAGTGCTAGACGATGTTTACTAGTTGTTGCTGCTTACGCTCCCAACGACTGCGACCCTGAAGCTACCAAACTCTTCATTCCATGAACCTAACGTGATGGCATGGTTCCATCATGGACTATCGCCTTTTCTGAAACACGTGCGTAAACTTTGATCATGCCGTGGCTCGGTGCCGATTCCCCATGAACTTTACAAGGAAGCGTACCAAACGTTCCTCTCGACTGGCAACTGAGATGACACATAAACCCTCAGTCAATCAAAACTGCCATGATTTTTTACATACCAGTCCTTCACCCAATTATTTCAAACACGTGGAGCTTCGGTGGAAAAGTATTTCAGCCAACATGTACGATGTGGGGGCCCATGCTTGCGGCACTAGATATCCGAGAGGGCAATGAACCTATTGGAATGCAGGAAAATTCATGTAGGCTCTGAACATACTGTGACCAGAGGGATAATTAGACGCGAGCTCAAACGGAGCCGGCGTGATGAAAATGGAACCAGGTGGACCAATAGGGTTGAGGGATTGGAAACGGGAACGGCAGGTAATTACCGCAGACTCTACAAGCTGATAAGTAATACCGGTCCCAGGAAGTTACGCGTCAGCGGGATAATTAAGGATAGCATTGGTGCACCTATTCACAGTAAGGAATGCCGTTTGCTTCGTTGAACGGAGCACTTATGAGAGTAGGTCAGTTGACTCCAGGCCGTTGGACCGCCTCCTTTACAGGGTATGAAGGCTGAGCCATGGTCCGCTAGTTGAGACGCTTCACCGCCGCTCAAAGTATTAAAGTTCGTCAGAGCTTTCAATCATTTTCGCGCTGATGACCCGGATTTTCTCGCGCCCGCGCTCTAAAGCAATGACGAAGGTATACGAGCAGTTGTGGAAATAAGAGAGCAGCCCAGCCAGAAGAGGTGAATCGATTATAGTGGCAATATACGTAAAAAGTAGCCGCATCGACCGCGTGTGGTAATTATTTATAAGCGTGATTGTATTGTTCCTGTTTTACCGTGCACCTAACTTAAATACAACTTCGCTGGAAACGAATTCCCGCGTGCCTCTGTAGTCCATTAGCACTTCTTTGTCGAAGCTATGGGTCTGAGCTTAGTCCATTTCGATTACAATAAGCTCAGACAATACCACAACTGTTGTTACAAATGCATCGGTGCAGTTAGAGTAACCTGATTATTCATCCCTTCTATCGCGATATCGAGAACAATCTGGTGTATTCTGAGATAGGAAGGCCGCTCACTTTCTTACTTCCAGTAGACAGGATGTATACTTACTTTGAAGAACCTATATCTCCCTGACCCATCAAGTTCACTGCCGTATGCTAGGCTAAAAGTACGTGAAACCATCAAATCCCGAAGCAACCGAAAACGCCGAATTTTAAACAGTTGTGTGAAAAGATAACCAGAATAATCGTGATATCATCTGGCAACTTCAGACGCAACCTGCTCGCGACAATTTTGGTGACTAGTTGCAGATCCAACCTCGAGATCGTTGGATCGCCAGGTACAACATTGCTAACGCAACAGAAAGTCATCATCAATACGTCGGTACACAGTACCGACGCTTCGCTGCCGCGCAACCACCACCGGTCGCACGTGGGCTAATAATGCTGTGAGGGTGGCTTTCAATACGTATACTCGAACCCGCGCCGTAAGATTACAAGACAAGCTTGTTACCTTCAGGCTACGGGCCAGGCTCTGACTTATTTATGGTCTCGCCTTTCAATCTGTCAGGGCATCCGGTGAACATTTTCGAGATGTAACAGCTGCCGTGAGGGAAGAACATCCGCTGTCGTACAACTTCAGCAGCAAAACGAAACCTAGTACCCAATGGCCGCAGCAATCCAAGATGCCAAACAACTCACAAGGACATTATTACTAAATGTGATCATTTATGTATGTTGGAATGAATTTTATGGGAAGGAAACATTCTTGACCGACTTACAAGTTTCGCACTTAACTGGTATTTCCTTATATTATGATTACGTCATTGTTCAAGCTCCCACAAAAGCGCTGTACAACAAAGGTCTTTTTGCATTGACAGAAAGTTTTGCTCCTATAATGCGATAAGCAACCAATCAGTGTATTTTTGGTGCACCCAAGTTCCATATCTCAGTTACCTTGCTAATTTCACCCAGATATATATCGTTTCACGCACTGGTCCCATATTACTACCCCAAAGAATTTAGACAAGCATCGGTTATTGAAGGGGTCCTTACTCCAGATTTTTCTTTAACTTGCCGTCATCAGAATGGCAGTTTAGACGGACTCCGGTTATGCCTACAACAACGAGAATGCACCGCGTAAAATGCCTCGGTTTCTGTTCACGGAAGATGTTCTGTGCCTATTTGCAGCAAAAGTACCTTCCTCCGTGATCACAGATGCATCGTCTACTGGCATCGGAGCAGTAGTAGAACATAACGGGCATCCCGTACTGCGCGTCTCCAGACATTAGCCCAGTTAAAGGTGCATAATCTCAAACAATGTGAAAAGCTCATGCAATACATTGGGAAACCTCACACTTACATAAATGTCAATTTGGCGTGCAGCTTAACATTGTGACTAACAAGGAAAAATTGAAGTTCATTTTCACCATCACAGTTCCTTAGCTAAATCTTCGGAGCAATGTTACAGCGTTAAAGCATATCGCTTGCGTCATACTCGTATGACATCCACCACCGTAGTGCAAAACATATTCAACATGTTGAGTACTTGTCACAATAGCTGATAGCGGTACTAGTGGATCAAGAGTGTCGTATGATGTAAACACCTCCAGGAAGTAGTTCGCAGATGATCTACGATACAGAGGAGAAGTACGTAGAAATACCGCCACGCCGTCCTGTCATCAATCAGCGAGATATGAAGCTTTATATTAAAAAGGCGATTTCGGCAGTTTTGCAAACTGCACGATGG